TCAGTTCACAGAACCATTCCATCAAAACACCTAAATCTTCTTTTTTAAAATTATTTTGCTATAGTAAATCCTGAAAGACTGGACACTTTAAACAAATGTAGATTGTTCCTTGAAGCTTGGAATTACAAAGCATTTGTCTTTTGAAAAGACAACAGCATTGGTCACCTGCCTGCTTAAATATGATTGGAAGGTCTTTTTGCTGACAGCTTCTCTTTCCCTTCTTCGCACATCAGCAGGGCTCTCAAGTGCATGAAAGCTAGTGTGATCCATCATACGCAAAGCCGAGAACTGTGCAGCCTCAACTTTCCCATCAAAGTGAACATTCACCCATTTCAGACTGTCAGGCAGTGGTGCCTGAAGGTCATCCCTGGGAAAGAGACATGTTGCTCTCACTCTTCTTAATGAAGTAGTTAACATAATGGACATTCGTGTATGTTGGGTATGGATTTCTCTGTAATTCTCTAGTTTTTTCAAAGTAATTCAGGGTGTACATATAATAATCAAAATTTCAATGTTCTTCTGTTTTGTGTTACATATAGCTCTTAAATTTTTATATAAGACTTTGATAATTGTTTTCTTTTATTTTTATGATTGTAATATAATTACATCATTCCTCCTTTCCCTTCCCTCCTGCCAAATTCTCCCATACACCTTACCCCTCTCAAATTCATATCTTCTGTCTTCATTAATTGATGCTGTGTGTGTGCATGCGTGTGTGTGTGTGTGTGTGTGTGTGTGTGTGTGTGTGTGTACAAATACATACCTAAATACAACTGGCTCATTCTGTAAATGCTATCTTTATGTTTTCAGGCTGACTATTTGATATCAAATCACCCATTCATATACTCTTCCCTGGGGAAGACTATTTCTCCCATTCTTAGCATTCTCTGTGTAGTCCTGAACCTGCTGGACTTACCTGCTGGACTTTTCTACTTTAGCATGTTTATTTTTTTTTTGTCATTGTTTAGTTCATGTTTAGCCAGTCATGTTTTTGAGACTTTATCAGTCTAGTTTCTGATATTTTTAATACCTGACATTCTTGAAGTCACCTTTCTCTTCAGTTTCTCTTTTTCTCTGACCCAAGTTACAGACCCAGGTGTCAAAAAGTTCAATGAAAGTAAGGTTAATTTTTCTAAGATCTATCTACACTTAGAATTTACAAAGTAAAGTAAATTCTTCTGGGCATTGCTAATTACAACCAAGTGGCATCTTATTCCATGGAGAATAAGATTCCTGCCCTCTTAAATACATACTGAAAATATGCATCTATAGGTCTCAATAGGTAATAGCACCCTATAAATAACAGACTTTTATTTTTCATTAATGAGTAAAATAAAGGCCTAAAAGTCTACTTTTTAGCTAGCCATCTCTTGATTGCATCATCATAGCCTCCACAATGCTTGCAAAGGTGTGAGGTGGGTATTTTCCATACTATACATAATTTGCAACCACAGTATTGTACAAATCTTCACTGAGAGCCACAAAACACTAGGATGACAAATAAGTCTTTTCACACATGTGTATATTCTAAAAGCTATTCCTTGATTGGGCATAAATGGTTGATTGAAATCCCTGTCGTTGAAGCTCTGACTCAACCTCTGCTAACTGGATTTCAGCTAATGGATTTAGAAAGCCAATCTTCATGTTCAGGGTCCACCTGTCTCTGGAGCCTTGCTTACAGCAACACTGACTTTTCTTTTAATTGGTAGAATCAGTAACTAAATCATAGTTAGACCAAGTTAACTTTGCAGAAATAACCTGTTACGCTGACTTTGGTAGCAGCCTTCTAACTAATGGAAAGAAACCAGAAATACAGAATCCTAAAGGCTGTCTGAGAGTAAAATCTATCTTTTTTCCATGACATGAATTCCCATATTATTCTGAGCCCTGTTTTGCATTTAATTCTTAGCAGACAAGTACCCATTTTTCTATCCCCCTTGTGTTCGCTCTGCCTGAAAGACGTCCTCTCTATCATCTCTCTCTGAAGGATAAAGGATGTTAGTCACCCTGTCTGACACTGCCACAATATAATAGATTCTATGTTCCTTATACAACCCCAAAGCAACGTTTGAGGATGCAAATTAAAAGAATGTGTTGTTTTGTGTTTTTGTTTTTGTTTTTGTTTTGTTTTGTTTTTTTCAGAAAGAAATAACTGCTTTCTGGGGTTAAATATGATATTATTTTAGAAATTCGATAAAATTTATGCAGAATCTAAAGCTCAGCCATTATGTCAAAGTAATTATGTAGTATTTATTTATAGATGATTTGGTGAGTAGTATTTCTCAATTAAAAAACCATGACGATAGGCATGTTTTATTATGTGTTATCATGCAGAAATCTAAATATGGTGTCAAAAGTTGTACTCTATCCCAACAGAAATTACAGCTTGCTGTACTCTAACCCATTGTCCCTTAACCATGGAAAAAATAGCAGGTATTCAAAGTGTTCATTTCTTCATTTCTTCCCAAACAAATGATTTGTCTTTACACCAGTGCCACATTGTGGCTGTTGGCACCCTGCCCCCTCCTTAAAACTTTAGTTTCCTTGTGCTCCCTCTGCCACTTTCTTCTTTGGGGCTTCCGCCCACCTCTCCATTCACTCTTTGTCATTTTTGTTGGAAGCCCTTCTACTTCAATATTTCTGCCTGCTTTCTGTTCCCTGGCAGTAGCATTTATTTCTAGTGCTTCAGCTACTGCTGAGACAGCCAAGCCGACTAAGTGTTTCTCAGAGCAGGAGATAGTCATCCATGTGAACATTTGGCATTTTCTACATCCACTGATTTTTGTCACAGCAGAAAAAGGCTCTCCTTGAATATAGTGAGCAGAGATCAGGGATGACAATAAGCATCCTGTGATGGAAAGAACACCTTCCCAAATGAAATGGCACAGCTCCTGAATTCAGTAGTGCTGAGGATTATAAAATAGGACCTAAATGTACTGGACAATTTTGTTTGAGCATCCTATAGAAATACTAAACTCAATATGTATCAAGGAAACGTTACCTTTTTCTTCCCACCCTTTGCTGCTCATGTCAGTAACTGTGCATTTTCATTTAATGAAGTAGCTTCAAATATAACAACAGCCTTACCTGCTGAGAGTCTCTAACTATGCAAATACTCCTGAAGGTATGATCTGCATACATTGTAGAATCTCCCTCCTCTCCTGGTGTAAACTATCTACTGAGTCTATTACTCTCTCAGCACCATCAGTTTACACAGTCTGGTCCCTAACTCTGATTCCTCATTACTACGTATTCTATCTGTCATCCTAAGGGTAATGTGCCAGTTGACCTCAGTCCTTTGCTGTGGCCTTGGAGCTCTGTCCCCTGCTTGCTGGGATATTTTTAAGGTCATTTTCTGTAAATAAGACATACCAAATAATTTTTTAGCCTATAAAAGTTATTACCTACTGTAGTTTTCATTGGCAGCCATATTTGACAAAACCTTTACCTCAATGCATATTAAAAATAAAGAGAATTTTTTAATATACATATTCCTGTTGGAGCCCAAACAGATGAGAAAGGATTAAGAGGACCTTGTGGGATGACAAGACATATAGCATCAAGGGCTAGCACATCCCAATTTTATACCAATGATTTTGCTGTGAGGTTGTGGGTGACCTAATGAAAATTTTCCTCATTTGTGAAGCAGGAATATAGTTGAGATATCTCTCAGTTTATAACAATAATCTGGATTCTAAATATTCCTTTCAAAATTACACTTAATTTCTTGATTTCTTAATTTCTTTAAATCATATTTAAAATGTCCTTCTGGAAGCATTTTTCTCATCCTTTAGAGACTCTTGTCTTACCTCAGCCCACATCTATCCATCATTTTCTTATAGCTACCAGAATCTTAGAAAAGTTTCTTCTGTCAAGATATTTCAGCAATATAGCTAATATGTAAATGAATCTTCCCTTGGTGACTTTTTCTACATAGTACTTTCTGGACGGAACCTATTATCACATATCTTCACCTCTAGAGTCTTTGTGTTTCCACCTAGTAATTCAGTTGGCTGAAATGGTACTTCCAGATTCTTATATATTTGTCATGGACATAGATGAAAGAACAGAAGCATTAAATTATTGTTGAAACCCACCCTATAACCTAAGATAATGCTGTGAATTGAGCTGTAGATGCCACATAAACTTCTAGAGGTCCTTAAGAAATGACCTCTAGAATTTTAAAACCAAATCTTTGAAACAAAACAATTATATCTCTTTCAAGGATGTGTTAGTTAAATCTGTCTCCTGCTGTGTGTACCAGTGATGGTTGTAAGATGATAGGTTGTTTTCTGACATTTTCATCTCTGCATAGTTTCCAAAAGCTGCTGTATCTTGCTGTAATAGCTTTAGCCATACAAGCACATAATTAGGTGCCTGGCATGTTTGAGCAGAAATGAATACTTAATCTTCTCATTGAAAGTGGCTACATGATTAGAAATTAAATTCTTTCTAGACTATTCTCAGTAGCTCCCCTGTGTTTTCCCTTGAGTTTTTAAGACATTTCCAGAAGTTATGTGCCTTCTTTGTGGCTTCTCAAACAGTCCTATTTTCTAACCTGAATAGAAGCTTACTTTTGATTTATGAATAAAAATATCCTGGAGTTACTACAGCCTTATAGCCTTATAATATCAATTGCAAGAAAAAAATGCTTATGTACATAAGGAACTCTCCCTGTAAGATTCATGAGATTGGGGCTCTCTTAGTTAAAAAAAGGTTATCATCATAATAGATTACAAAGAAATATTGAAGTGTAATTAGTTTGTTTCAATAATTATTAAAATGCTCTAATGTTTTTTATTGAAGCTTAAAGTTAGTACAGTTAATAAACCTTTAACTTTCACATTTTCTTCCACATAGACTAGTACTTCTCAGATTATGGTATAACATCAACAGATGGATAAAATATGAAGATGTAAAATATTAAACTGGGGAGCGTTGGGACTACCTGCAAGATGTTGTTTCCTGTTGACATGTACTTTATCGCCTGCACCTTCCAGATCTACGGAAGACCTTTGAGCAGGAACCCTTGGGAAAGGAAGTGTCCCTGGAACAGGAAGTCTTACTCCAGTGTCGGCCACCTGAAGGGATCCCAGTGGCTGAGGTAACAAAAATGCATTGCATTTAGCAGTTGGCACTCACTTATTCTAACAGAGCCTAATCCATGGCTAATGGTGCAGTGAATTAGGGCATGGCATGATGAATGGTTGGTAATGGAGTCCTAACTGCCTGCTGCTGGCAAAACAGATTGATTAGGAACTGATTAATGACTTGGGAGTCAATTAGACTGGCCCCTTTGGACAAAGCCACAGGCAGCATGGTTTAATTTTATCATTCTCTTTCAAAACATCTATAGAAAGAGATGCGATGACTTAATGCACCATCAATTGTAATACTGTTCCAGATGATGTTTAAAAAACGTTAGTATAAAAAAGGTGTGTGTCTGTCCTATGAGCTGGCTCTTCACGTGTGTGTTTCTCAGTCTACGGTATCATTGTTGAGATCAGAAAGCCATATCTACTGTCGTAAACATGTTCACTTTCATCCAGTTATATTCTACCAGTTCATTCAATGTTTTGGTTCTGCTTAAATGCAGCATCCGGATTGCTAATGAAATGCTATGAATCAGATTTTGGCACGACTTTTCATTAGCAACAATATATTGCCCTTTGAAAAGGGCTGGATTTGAAAAAGTTGCCCTATGTGACCTGTAGGAGAATGCATGCTCTTCGGGGACACTCACCATTACACTCCAGCATCCTGTTGATGGAAACTAATCCCGTGTCTTTCATTTGTTACCAAATAACTTTAAACTCTAACCCAATCTTTACTTCACATGATTAATAGAAAACTATCTCATATTGCCCAACATGATTATCATAGCTGCTGCAGAGTTCTACAAATCCAAACACACTTTTATTTGACAAGTAACAAGATTTGTTGATGGTCCTTACTAGCCTCTGAATTCCATGAAGTCATTGAAGTATTTACTGTATTTTGCATGTGTGCAAAGAGGTATAAGCCTGTTGTTCACACCTATATATGGATCCAGTGGACATAAATCTGCTCATTTTTCATGCAATAAAATCTTGAAATTTTGTCTCTCTAAAAATCTAAAAATAATAATATTGAAATTTTAAGTACCTAATTATAAAAATTAATTTACTGTTTGATTTCTAGTAGCTTTTAAATCCTTTGAAGATTGGTACAAGGTAGAAATTAGCTAGGGTAGTTCCCCCCCCCCCCGACCCCAAATAACAGTAAAACAGAGCATCTCATTCTTCTGAGTTAATACTGGCAACAAATTATTTGAAAATATGTTCAAAAGGACTCTACTTTTTCTGCCATAGCATTTATATCTCTGTTACTCAAGGCAGTCACAATTTCCTATTTTATAATTTTTTAATTCATTTTTTTTATTTATTACAATTTATTCACTCTATATCCCAGCTGTAGCCCCCTCACTTTTCCTCCTGCCAATCTCGCCCTCCCTCTCTCTTATCCTTGCATGTCCTTCTCCCAGTGCACTGATAGGGGAGGTCCTCCTCCTCTTCCATGTGACCCTAGCCTATCAGGTCTCATAAGGACTGGATGCATTGTCTTCCTCTGTGGCTTGGGTAAGGCTGCTCCTCCCTCAGGGAGAGGTGAACAAAGAGCTAGCCACTGAGTTCATGTCAGAGACAGTCCCTGTTTCCCTTACTAGGGAACCCACTTGGAAAGTGAGCTGCCATGGGCTACATTTGAGCAGGGGTTCTAGGTTATCTCCATGAATGGTCCTTGGTTGGAGTATCAGTTTCAGAAAATACCCCCATTCCCAGATTTTTTTTTTTTTTTTGGCTCTGTTGCTTTCCTTGTGGAGCTCCTGTCACCTCCAGGTCTTTCTATCTCCCCCTTAAGATTCCCTGCACTCTGCCCAAAGTTTGGCTATGAGCCTCACCATCTGCTTTGATACATTGTTGGGAAGAGTATTTGAAAGGCCCTCTGTGGTAGGCACCTGTCCTCTTCCCTGTTTTCTCCCTCTTCCAATGTCCGTTCCATTTGCCTTTCTGAGTGAGGAGTGTTCATCTTGCTAAGGATATTCCTTCTTGATTAGCTTCTTTAGGTGTACAGATTTTAGTATGATTATCCTATATTATATGTCTAATAGCCACATATACGTGAGTATATACCATATGTGATTTTCTGTTTCTGGGATACCTCACTCAAGATGATCTTTTCTAGTTCCCACCATTTGCCTGCAAATTTCATGATTTCCTTGTTTTTAATTGCTGAGTAGTATTCCATTGTGTAAATGTACCACAATTTCTGTATCCGTTCCTAAATTGAGGGGCATCTTTTTTTTTTTAACTTTGAAAAAATAAAACCATTTTCCCTTGTAATTGGCATCTCAGGACTCTTTAGCACCGTATCAGAAGTTGCACGATTATCACTCACTATCACAGAAGTTGCACGATTATCACTCACTATCACAGACCTTGCAGACCCAAAACACAGCCTGTGGTTTAGTGTGGCCGAAATGAAGGACAGTTTTCAATACAACGTTTCATTTAAGTTACATAATAGTACATCTGCCTCTTTACTTGTAGTTCTAAAGCAAACCTGTTCAAAAAGCCACTGTGATGTTCCAAACATCCTATGAGCAGCATGAACATCTGTGGTCTGGCTTCTATTCAAGGCAATGTAAAAACAGCTACCCTGGAAAAATCTTACAAAGAGAATATCATGCTACTCTTCTTTTTTAAGTCTCAACAAAGTAGTTCACTTTGTCAAGGAGTAAAGATTCATGACTTCAAACTAATTGGCTATGAATTTTATGTGTATCATCACTGGGGAAGAGTCTAATTAACATTTGGCAAGCTGAAAAATCATATACCCATTTGACATTCAAAGAACTATATTTAATACATATTACTTTTTCATTTTTTTAAGTCAAAAAAGAGATCAAACATACATGCTTAAGAGAAGGCTAATAAACTCCTCTGTAGATTTTTTTAACACCATTAAAATCACCAAGATCAAAAATCCAATGGATGACTTTACATGACACTTTCCAGCTGCCGTTTGCTCAAGAGCAATAGAAAAATGTAAAGAGAAAGGGATAAAAGAGAGCTTGGGAGACTAAGAGATTATTTGATCATTTTATTGTCAATATAAATACATTCAGTACTTCATTTTCATTTATGTTTACGGAATTTGAAGGCATAACTGTGACATAAAATAAAGTGTTCATCTTAACATAAAATCAGCAGGTAAAAATGCATGTTTTATTATCATTAGTTTAGCCCCAAGGAGGTCAGCCTGGATAAATAAGTGCTTCACTGCTATTTAAAGCAACTACTTTTGAGAGGAAAGCACAGTCAGTGTTCAGTGAACACCTGGCTGGTCCAGTCAGATGATCTGTACTTTACACACATGTAGGTGGTTTCATGAAGGAAGATCCTTTGCAAATTATCAGGAAGCAGTAATTTTCTTCTGGCTATCCAAACCAGGCATCTTAAAAAAAAATCTAACCTCAAATATAATCATACTGCATTTGTGCCTATAATGTCATAGGTGTTGCCATGATGGTAACAGTTGGTCCTTGCCAGGATATGGGCATCCTGTAGTCTATTTTATGAAACAGCAACTGATTTTCTTTTCAAAATCCAGGTTTAAATTCAAGCATAATCATGTTTTACTCTCTGACTTTAGACAAGACATTTTAATCTTTTGCATCCAGATTTTTCAGTCACATAAGGAAGATATTATTATTTATACACTAAATGTTTGTGATATTTAATAACAATAGTACATGAAAAGCACTTAATCCTATCTAGATCCATAGAGTACTATCAAGCATTATTTACACTCTTACTATGTTATATTATTAATTCCCAGAAGATTGAACTCAATATTATAAAATAGCCACTGAACTTTGCTTACCCTAAGCTCTCTGGGATACATGATGGAGGAACCTCTGCTATGTGAAGAATCAACAAGACACCTCCTATATTCTACAGCCATTGGTTTGCTTGGAGGCCATTAGTGCTACAGACAAATGTAACACTTAGAACCCAACTTTGCCTTCTACTAATGCTAATCAAATTGCCTGACGTATTCTTTTTCTCATTGCTGTCACCAAACACCTGACAAAGAGCGACGTCAGAGAAGAAGTGTCTGCTTTAGGCTATAGTTTGAGGGGATCCAGAAAGTATTCTTTCCTTTCCTTCCTCATGGCATTTGACTCCATCTCAATAGCCTGTCTCTCTTCCATGTCCCCAAAGAAGCTAGAAAATTAATATGCTATAAAGTGGGTGCTGGGCCATTCCCAAGGCATAATAGCAGCCCTCTATGAAATTAATCGCTCTCCGCTCATTTGAGTTCATGCCTAGAAAAATGTTACTATCACATGGCAAGCCTGGGCTGCCTTATATCATCAGATTATTCCTTCAGGGGATCACTGGATCAAACCATCAATGGAGTCAAGGGGTTTTGGCATGGTAGGAGGAACAAAATGGAAAATTTCACTAAAACCTGTGATTTGTTTCACCTTTAACAAGGGGATAATTGCTTCCCTAATTATAATTGAGCTATTTCTCATAGGAGCTTAATTGGAGGAACAGGGCAGCACAGTGTTCAACTTATTGACCCAGTTGTACTTTAAAAAACTGTCTTCTTATTTATCAACATTTGCATCTCTAATTAGTGAGTGGGAAAATATGGGGTGAAGTGTGAAAGAATAGATTGTTTTGCTGAGTTTAGGCATGATAAATAGGAAACAGATATTTTTAAGTAGATACTGACAAGACCAAAACCTACTGGCAGCTGGAGGCACTAGCGAATGTGTAGCATCAGGTGGCTTTCTGTCTAATGGCTTACTAATATGGCCACTGAAAAGTGCCTCGTGAGCCATGCCACCCCTCAGAATGGGTGAAGATGAATTTCCTGCCAGGTGTGTTGTTACCAAGCCATGAGTCATGGTTTTTCTGGGTAAAAGAGGCTTAGAGAGAAACAAAGAGCTTGGACTTCATTTGGGAGGGAACCTTACTTTCAGTGCCTATAATGTCGGAATTTTTCCTCTTCTGTATAACACCATAAAAAAACCTAGAAAATAGTTTTTTGTTT